TTTTCTTTTTTTTGGCCAACCCCCCTTGGTGGGAAAAAGCCCGTGTGTTAATGAAAAAAGTAAAAAAAAAAAAAAAAAGTGACCAGTAATGTCCCTTTGTAAAAGTATGTTTTTTTCGGTGCTATTGTTGACAGTGCAAAAATCAAAATTAAAACAGGATGACAAGGTAGGGATAGGTACCCGCTTGTCATCCCTGGGGCGGGGTTTTAAATGGATCATTAGCTGCCTGCCATCCACTAGAGGTAAGAAAGACTTGTTAACTGTTGTATTTAGGGAGTTAGAATCAAATTTCCAAATTTTTTATTTGCTTTTGTTTTTGTTTATATTGAAAGGGTTTTACATTTTCAAATCTTAAAGGGGGGGGTGGGGGAAAGATTGGTTCAGAGGGGCATTTGAATTTTGATTTTCCAAACATTCCCGGAAGATTTAAAATTAATTTGTGATAGTGAATGTGTTTCCCTTTTTGGGTCCCTTTCAATGTGGGAAAATGGACTATATGGGAAAAAAAAAATATTGAGTATATAAGTTACATATTTTAGAAATTTTTTTTTTCCGAAGTGCCTCATTTTTAAAATTTTGGGCCCTGTTTCAAGTAGTTGCCCACACCCCCCGGGCCCCCTTTAATGTAGAAAACAGTGGTTTTTAGTTTGTAAAAAAAATAGGGCAAAGTTTTTGACAAGGATCTTTGGGGGGATAATGACCTGTTTAAAATTTGTTGAGCATCCCCGTTTGTATACTGTTTCCCGTCTAATCCCAAAAATTTTTTGGGGGGATTTTAATTTATTATGCAAAAGTTTTAACTGAAGGGGGGTTTTTTGGGGGGGGCATAGCTTTTTTTCCCCAAAATTTAATACAACCCCAAATTTTGTTTTAAAATACATCCGTGGATTTGGTTTTTTTTTTTTGGGGGGGGGGGGGGGGGGATGGGGATAAAATAAATGTCTTTGTTAAGCCCGATTATAATGATATTTAAAGAGGTATGGCCCGTGAAGCCAAAAAGAGTTATTTCTGAAACAGATTTATTATACACTTTAGAAAAAAAATTTTTTGGTTTTTTTGGATTCTGAAATTTTGGAGTTCTCTAGAAAAACCCTCCAGAAATTTTAAAATTGGGGTATAATGTCGCTTTTGGTCCTCCTTTGTTTTATGACTTTGGGGGATAACAAATTTGCAAATTTAAAAAAAATGAACATGAAGAAACTTAATTTTTTGTAAATAACTTTTTTTCCTCTTTTTTGTAGGCCCCCGAGACCTTCGTTTTTGGGGTTTCATACAAACATGACCAGAAGAAACTGGTGGTTTGGGCCGCCTTTGGGTTTTTTCCTCTTTAAGGGTTCACTACCAACTCCCTTTTTGGTGCAACCTTTCTTTTTGGTGGTCTTGTAGGGAAAAGACTGTTAAAAATTGGAAAGGGTTTTAAACCCTTTTGGGTATTTTTAACGTTCCAAAGGCCGGGCTGTATTTAGAGGAGAAAAAGCACATTTGGGAATTCTTTAAGGAAACCCCAGATAAAAAAGGAAACATTATGCCCCCAGGTTGATAATGATTGTGACTTTTTTTATGAATAAAATTTAAATTTTAAAAGGGTTTTTTTTTCTTTGTTGTAGGGGGTTATTTTAGGTACATTTAGAAATAATTTAGGTAAACCCCCTTTTCTGTAGACATTTTCTAAAAAAGAAGGGAAAAACTTTTAAAAAATGGATGCTTGAATGTGCGTTGGGTGTAGTGCGGAAAAGACAAGAAACAGAAAGATTGCTGAAAGTTATGAATGAAAAGAAGTTGGTTTTCCCGGCCCTAAGCGAAACAAAGCTAAAGGGGGGGTTTGGGGGGTTTCGGTGGGGGGAAAAAAAAATGGGAAATTAAAAATTTGGGGTTTGAGGGCAGTTAGGAAAAGGGAAGGGGGGGAGAGTTAAAGTTTAAGGATAGTTTTGAGGAGAAAAAGAGAATATGAATGTGTAAATAAAGAAATTTTTGTGGATTAAAGTAAAGGGTTTGGGTGCGAAAAGTGGGGCTATTAAATGTGTATGCCCGGGGGAAAAGGGGGAATGTAGAGGAGGAGAGAGAGATTTTTGGGAGAAGTTAAGTGAAGGGATAGGAGCCTTTGAACCAAAATGAGAGGTAATTGTGGTAGGGGGTTTTAATGGGTAAAGTAGGAAAACTTTTGAGAGGGGGTTTTTGGTAGGTAAGTTTTGGGGTTTCCAGGGAAAATGTTAAATTGGAGCCCTTTGATTGAATTTGTATTTTGAAAGGGGTTTTGGGTTTTAGGTTAAAAACATATTTTAAAAAAGAGGATAAAATTTAAATATAAAAGATATGATGTAGGGCAAAATGACAGTAGTTTTTGGTTTTTGTATGGTAGATCCCCAAAAACTGTTGAGTTTGACTTCAGGAAGGGCATGTTTATAGAGGGGCCAAGATGGGGTCAGATCACTTTTAGTTTTAAGTCCCCTGAGGGGGTAAAAGGTAGATGGGATAAAGGGGGAAAAAGAGCATCAGGGGGAAAAGGGGAGGTGGGAAAGGGTTTTTAAAAAATTTAAAAAGGAGGGAGTTTGGGTAAAATATAAAAAGCTGTTGGGGGATAGATGGGCTTAAAGAGAGCATAGGCAAAAGGGGTCGAAAAAGGTAGGGGGGTAGGGTTTAAAAATGTAGTGTTGAGGTTTAGCAGGGAAATTTTGGTTACAGGAAAGGGGGGAAAGGGGGAAGAGGAGCGATTGGTGGAATGATGATGTAAAAAAGAGTAGTAAGGGAGAAAAAGTTTGCATATGAGGGAAATTTTTAAAAAAGTAGAAGTGATGCAAGGAGGGAAAAAAGTATATGGGGGAAAAAGAGAGAGGTTTAAAAGGGGTGGGGAAAACAAAGTAAAAAAGAGAGCAAATGAGAGAGTGGGTGAGATGTTATTTAACAAATTTTGTTGAAAAAAAGAAAAAAAATTTTTGGCCGTGAGTTAACAAAGTTTTAAAGGGAAACGTTTGGAAAAAACAAATGGATTTGTCAGTTTTAAAAAAAGGAGAGGAGGGGGTTTTTAAATGGGAGGGGTTTTGAGGTTTTGGGGAAAATGGAGGGTATTTTGAGGGGAAATTTTTAAATGTTGATGAAAATAGGGAAGCTGTGATTTTGTGTATAGGGCAAGGGGGAATAACATCTTTTAGGAGTGGGAAGGGGCCAGTTTTGGTTGTGGGGGGAAGGGTTCCTGGGGCAGTAGGTTAAAAAGAAAGGGGGTTAAAGGGAGCCCGGGGTTGATGGGGATTTTAAAAAAAAATTTTTTCCCCGGTGGGGGGTATTGTTTTGGAAATGGTTGGTGCAATTTTTTAAAAAATGGGATGGAAAAAGGGTAAAAGGGACCTAGGGGGTTGGGAGAGAGCATGCATAAATTCCCTTTTTATAAAGGAAAAGGGGGCAAAAGAGAGTGCAAAAAATTATAGGGGGATTAAAATCTGTTGAGTATTTCCTGGTAAAAGTGTATGGTAGAGTTATTATTAAAAGAATTAAGAGTAAGACGGAGAATAGGATAGCAGATGAAAAAGGAGGCTTTAGGAAAGGTAGGGGGTGTGTGGACCAGGTGTTTACATTTGAAACATAAAAGTGAACAGTATTTAGATAAGGCTAAAGAGGTCTTTGTGGCATTTATTGATTTGGGAAAAGGGGCATATGACAGGGTGGATTGGGGGGCAATGTGGAAAGATGTTGCAGGTGTTGGTGTAGGAGGTAGGTTACTGAAAGCAGTGAAGAGTTTTTACCGAGGATAGTGAGGCTTCAAGTTAGAGTATGTAGGAAAGAGGGAGATTATTTCCCAGTAAAAAGTAGGCCTTAGACAAGGATGTGTGATGTCACCGTGGTTGTTTAATATATTTATAGATGGGGTTGAAAGAGAAGTAAATGCGAGGGTCTTGGCAAGAGGCGTGGAGTGAAAAGATAAAAAAATCAAACATAAAGTGGGAGTTGCCACAGTTGCTCTTTGCTGATGACACTGTGCTCTTGGGAGATTCTGAAGAGAAGTTGCAGAGATTGGTGGATGAATTTGGTGGGGTGTGCAAAAGAAGAAAATTAAAAGTGAATACAGGAAAGGGATAAGGTAATGAGGATAACAAAAGATTAGGTGATGAAAGATTGGATACCAGATTGGAGGGAGAGAGTATGGAGGAGGTGAATGTATTCAGATATTTGGGAGTGGACGTGTCTAGCGGTGGGTCTATGAAAGATGAGGTGAATCATAGAATTGATGAGGGAAAAGGGTGAGTGGTGCACGTAGGAGTCTGTGGAGACAAAGAAGTTGTCTTGGAGGCAAAGAGGGGAATGTATGAGAGTATAGTTTTACCAATGCTCTTATATGGGTGTGAAGCATGGGTGATGAATGTTGCAGCGAGGAGAAGGCTGGAGGCAGTGGAGATGTCATGTCTGAGGGTAATGTGTGGTGTGAATGTAATGCAGAGAATTCGTAGTTTGGAAGTTAGGAGAAGGTGCGGGATTATCAAAACTGTTGTCCAGAGGGCTGAGGAAGGGTTGTTGAGGTGGTTCGGACATGTAGAGAGAATAGAGCGAAACAGAGTGACTTCAAGAGTGGGTAGAGGTCGGCCTAGGAAAGGTTGGAGGGAGGGGGTGAAGGAGGTTTTGTGTGCGAGGGGCTTGGACTTCCAGCAGGCATGCGTAAGCGTGTTTGATAGGAGTGAATGGAGACAAATGGTTTTTAATACTTGACGTGCTGTTGGAGTGTGAGCAAAGTACATTTATGAAGGGGTTCAGGGAAACCGGCAGGCCGGACTTGAGTCCTGGAGATGGGAAGTACAGTGCCTGCACTGAAGGAGGGGTGTTAATGTTGCAGTTTAAAAACTGTAGTGTAAAGCACCCTTCTGGCAAGACAGTGATGGAGTGAATGATGGTGAAAGTTTTTCTTTTTCGGGCCACCCTGCCTTGGTGGGAATCGGCCAGTGTGATAATAAAAAAAAAAAATAATTTCATTTTGAGTACAGTATTGATGCTGTTCATTTATAGTTAGCACTAAAATTCTGGTATCTGGTTTTAGGTGATGATTGAAGTTGAAAAAGAATTCAGCCAGGAGACAAGAGAGAATAGTGAAGATAGCAGCAAATGTATGCCTTCCCTGACCAGAGAGGAGATACGCAAGCTTACCATGGGCCGGGACATTGCTAAACTCATGGAAGAGACCATGGACCCAAGCAGTTTGGAGGTTGTCCCTGTGTTTTTTAACTCTGTTACAAGACCATACTAAAGTCAAAGAGAGAGAGATAAACTACAGTGCACCCCCGGTTTACGATATTTCATTCCAGAAGTATGTTCAGGTGCCAGTACTGGCCGAATTTGTTCCCATAAGGAATATTGTGAATTAGATTAGTCCATTTCAGACCCCCAAACATACACATACAAATGCACTTACATAAATACACTTACATAATTGGTCGCATTAGGAGCTGATCGTAAACCGGGGGTCCACTGTATTAATGTTTTGTTAATTTAACACTTTTCATGTTAGCATTAATCTCTTCTCTTCTACATGTCTTCTTTCAACACACTGGCCATATCCCACTAAGGCAGGGTGGCCCAAAAGGAAAAATGAAAGTTTCTCCTTTTAAATTTAGTAATGTATACAGGAGAAGGGGTTACTAGCCCTTGGTTCCCAGCATTTTAGTCGCCTCTCATGACATGCATGGCTTACAGAGGAAGAATTTTGTTCCACTTACCCCATGAAGATAAGAGGAAATAAACAAGAACTAGTAAGAAAATAGAAGAAAACCCAGAGGGGTGTGTATATATATGCATGTGTAGTGTGACTTAAGTGTAAGTAGAAGTAGCAAGACATACCTGACATCTTGCATGTTTCTTCTTCTTTCAACAAACCGGCTGTTTCCCACTGAGGCAGGGTGGCCCAAAAAGAAAAACAAAAGTTTCTCTTTTCAACTTTAGTAGTGCTTACAGGAGAAGGGATTACTAGCCCCTTGCTCCTGGCATTTTAGTCGCTTCTTACAACATGCATGGCTTACGGAGGAAGAATTCTGTTCCACTTCCCCATGGAGATGAGAGGAAATAAGAATATGAAATACTAAGATAATAGAAGAAAACCCAGAGGGGTGTGTATGTATATGCTTGTACATGTATGTGTAGTGTGACCTAAGTGTAAGTAGAAGTAGCAAGACATACCTGAAATCTTGCATGTTTATGAGACAAAAAAAGACACCAGCAATCCTACCATCATGTAAAACAATTACAGGCTTTCGTTTTACACTCACTTGGCAGGACGGTAGTACCTCCCTGGGCGGTTGCTGTCTACCCGCCTACTACCTACAATTATCATACATAGCATCACATATGTAGAGAACCTAGAATAACCCAAAAAAGTCAGACAAAGTGACTTATTTCCAGTACCTGGCTTGGGCTTGCCATGTATGATTTTTGGTAAATATTTTTTTTTGTCATTTGTTTGTTGGGCTATCTTATTGAAACTTGGGCAATGTATGAGGGAAAGATGCTACTTAACGTACACCAAAATTGAAAAAAAACAGACGATAAATAAGGGAGTTCACTTCTCAGCCATTAGCCTCCTCTTTGCGGTATAATTTCATATGGTTTTTATGGTTGTATTCTCGTTTTTTTGGTCTCATTTGATAGAATGGAAGATGTATTACAGAAATAGATGTGATTTTGATTGGTTTCATGATGAAAAGTACCTTGAAATTGAGCTCAAAGTAGCAGAAATGTTCGATTTTTGCTGATGTTTAATGAACTTTCTTGTGTAAGTCAAGTTGGTTAATTTTATTAAGTGTATTCAAACCTAACCAGTCTGTAATCTGGCAAACTTAGTAATCCAGCACACTACAGGTCTCAATGATGCCGGATTTGTGATGGCGGACCTGTAGTGGTCACCAGGCCTCAGACGAGAGGGTATTTAGTGATAATTTTGTGGGTGGTTTTCTATTGCAGGTGTTGTTACTTGGTACTTGAATATTATTTGTCTTATGAAAGACAAACAAAATTCACCATATGGTGATTTGTTTCTGGTCTTCAGCTTGTACATATTATAAGCATTGAGGATGGAAATGTCCAGAAGATGGAAAAAGTTTTATGTACCACTTATAACTCTTGTAAACACAATCAGCAAACCCAATTTGCATGTCACATTTATCCACTGAGTGCATATTGAAGGTGTAGTCCATCACAGCTGCAGGTTTTAGAATGGGTTCATTGGTCTCAATTCTGCCTGCCACTGTCTGTCATTTAGTTTTGGTGAATTGATATCAACAATGTGACATCTCGTTTGTCATGCCACTGAAATGCCTTGATGTCATTGGCAGCAAATGCCTGCCCCACACCTCTGTGAGTGTGTGTCGAACCTGGGCATATGCTTAGAATTTGCACACTTTGTGTCACACACGTCTGTCATGTTCACTTGCAAGAAGTCACTGAGTAAGGGGCTTGTGTACCAGTTCTTTCTTTTCTTTCAATAAACTGGTCATGTCCCACCAAAGCAGGGTTGCCCTAAAAGAAAAACAAAAGTTTTTTTTTTTTTTTTAATTTTAGTAATGTATACAGGAAAAGGAGTTACTAGCCCCTTGCTCCCAGCATTTTAGTCACCCCTTATGACACGCATGGCTTATTTTGGAAGAATTCTACTCCACTCCCCCATAGAAATAAGAAGAAATAAACAAGAACAAGAACTAGTACAAAAATAAAAGAAAACCCAGAGGGGTGTGTATATACGTATATGCTTGTACATGCATGTGTAGTGTGACCTAAGTGTAAGTAGAAGTAGCAAGATGTACCTGAAATCTTTCATGTTTATGAGACGGGAAAAAGACACCAGCAATCCTACCATCATGTAAAACAAGTACAGGCTTTCATTTTACACTCACTTGGCAGGACGGTAGTACCTCCCTGGGTGGTTGCTGTCTACCAACCTATACATTGTGTACCAGTTATCAGTATATATGCCCCTTACCAAGATATGGTTCCATCATTATTCTAACCACATCACCAGAGATGCCCAATAACTTCCTGGTATCTTGCAATGTATTACTTTCAGTGTACACAATTATATCCAATCACAAAGTACAACCAGTTTTATACCAAAGCGTTTCCTCTTGCTTGGTATATACTGCTTGAACAACAGCCTACCTTTGAACAGAATCAAAGACTCATCAATAGGAAGCTTCCTGAAGGGATAAAAATGCATACAGAACTTTTGTTTCAGATACATAAACACATTCCTGATCTTGTATAACCTGTCGTTTCTGTCAGGCCTTGTTTTGTCTGAGAAGTGTAGCATACGTAACAGTGGCACAAATTGATTGACTGGTATTATATCACTGAAAGCTGGGGTTGAAATCAGGCGGTCTGTCAACCAGTATGATGAGAGTGTGCTTATACACATGTGGCATAAGCATTATTGTGGCAAAGAACAGATACATCTCAGCCACAGTTGTCTCCTTCCACTGGTGTAGGTGTGATTTTGGTGAAACAATTGCCATGGTGTAATCAAATTACAGTGGTCCCTAGATAATTGTAGGGCTCAGGAGTCGTAGATTTCTGAAATCATAGCGATATTTTCGTATAAACATGGGCTCGCTAATCGTAGATCGACTCGCGAATAGTAGTTCGTCTGGGACGCGTACGCACGCTGTGAGCCAGGGCGGCCTCCCTTCCCAGACAGTGTGGCATTGTTTACCAGTGAGCGACGGTCCCCTCATTTGCTCCTACAAAATATTTCATAATATTCCATTCATTTTAGTGCTTGCAAGTGTACTAAATAAGCTACCATGGCTCCAAAGAAAGCTCCTAGTGCCAAGCCTTTGGTAAAGAAGGTGAGAAATACAATTGAATTTAAGAAAAACATCATTGAACAATATGAAAGTGGCTTAAGTCCGGCCAATCTGGCCAGGATGTATAACAAACCCTATACTACAATCATATGTTCGATCGTGGAAAAGAAAAAGGAAATCAAGGACACTGTTGTTGCAAAGGGGGTAAATATGATGACAAAAATGAGATTACCAGTACTCGAAGAGGTTGAGAAGTTATTATTGGTGTGGATAAACGAAAAACAATTAGCAGGAGATAGTATTATGACGTCGATTATATGTGAAAAGGCTAGGCAGTTGCACGACGATCTGGTAAAGAAATTGCCTGCAACTAGTGGTGATGCGAGTGATTTTAAGGCCAGCAAAGGTTGGTTTGAGAGATTTAACCCTTTCAGGGTCCGTCCCGTAGATCTACGGCTTTACAGTGAGTGTCCAAACCGTAGATCTACGCCATGAGCTCAGCTCACTCTGATAAACTGTGAGTGGTACATTTGGGCCTAGATATGAGAGAATACATCTATGTGGTATGTGTGCACCACATAAAACAGATCCTGCAGCACACTGTGTATAATGAGAGAAAAAAACTGAAATCATGATTTATCGATTAAAACAGCGACTTTGCAGTGTTTTTTCGTATGTTTTTTATAGTTGTATTTGCGATTTCTTGGTCTCATTTGATAGAATGGAAGACATATTACAGAAATAGATTTTGATTGGTTTTAGCACTGGAAATGGCTTGAAACTGAGCTCAAAGTAGCGGAAATGTTAAATTTTTGCCGATATTCAAGCGTAAACAAACGACCTCACACATCTAATACACGTCAGCTGATGGGTCTAATATACATTCACAAATATGGTGATGATATTTATACAATTATTACAGTATTGCATAACAGTAAATCTTCTATTTTTTTGGTGTGAATAAAAATTCATTATGTGAATAAAAAATCAAAATGGAATTTATTTGTAAAGCCTCAAAATGTAACTAATGAACAGAGGAAATGTTAGTTTAGTTCCAGGAATACCTACATTGTTTATTCTGGAGCCTATTTTGAAATTGGAATATTTGGAACTTTGTGTTAAATTGGCCAAATTAACAATTTCCGATCACTTTATTTTGTAGTTGAAACAGTTGACTTGGCGATTTCTTGTGCTCAATCGATAGAATAGAAGTAATACTAGTGAAATAGCTAAGAATTTGGTTGATTGGAATAATGTAATTGGCCTAAAATGGGAGTCAAAGTCGGCAAAATCGCCGATTCGTAAATATCGCTGACACATCAAAATTCGCGAGAGCATAATTTCGTCAATTTTCCACCAAATTTCGTACTTTTTGTTTTATTACCTTCACAAAAAGATTCTCTACAATTTCATAAGAAAAAATAACAAAATTTTTTTTTGAAAATTCTTGGACACTGGTGCGTGACTTCAGATTTGGGCCTTGGACCCTGAAAGGGTTAAGAACCGTAGTGGCATACACAGTGTGGTAAGGCATGGTGAGGCTGCCATTTCGGACCACAAAGCAGCTGAAAAATATGTGCATGAATTCAAGGAGTACATAGAGGCTGAAGGACTGAAACCTGAACAAGTGTTCAATTGTGACGAAACAGGCCTCTTTTGGAAGAAAATGCCAAAGAGGACCTACATTACACAGGAGGAAAAGGCACTGCCAGGACACAAGCCTATGAAAGACAGGCTGACGCTCATGTTCTGTGCTAATGCTAGTGGGGATTTCAAAGTGAAGCTGTTACTAGTGTACCATTCTGAAAATCCCAGAGTGCTCAGGAAAAACAATGTTATGAAGAGTAAATTGTGTGTGTTTTGGAAATCTAATAGTAAGGCATGGATTACGAGGGAAATTTTCGTTGAGTGGTTCAATGAAGTGTTTGGCCCTAGTGTGAAGAATTACCTCCTGGAAAAGAAATTGGATCTCAAGTGCCTCCTAGTAATGGACAATGTACCTGCTCATCCTCCAAACTTGGATGACCTAATTTTCGAGGAGTTTGGGTTCATCACAGTAAAGTTCTTGCCCCTGAATACCACTCCTCTCCTCCAGCCCATGGACCAGCAGCTCATTGCAAACTTTAACTACACCAAAGCAATGTTTGAAAGGTGCTTGAATGTGACCTCAGACACTCACATGACCCTAAGAGATTTTTGGAGAGAACGCTTCAGCATCCTCCATTGCATAACCCTTATAGGTACGACTTTGAATTCTGCTTGGAGAAAATTGTGGCCAGATTGTGTCGACAAGAGGGATTTTGAAGGGTTTGGGGCTGACCCTGATGAGCCTATGTCTGTTGTTAAATCTGTTGTGGCACTGGGGAGTTCCATGGGGTTGGATGTGAGTTTGGAGGATGTGGAAGAGTTGGTGGAAGACCACAATGAAGAGCTCACCACTGAGGAGCTGCAAGAGCTTCAGCAGGAAGAGCAACAGATCGCAGCTCAGAATCTTGCTGCAGAGGAGGAGGAAGAGAGATGGAAGAAGGTGCCTTCTTCAGAAATTAAGGAGATTTTTGAAATGTGGGGTAAGATGGAAAGATTTATGGAGAAACATCACCCTGACAAGGCTGTTGCAAACCATGTTGGCAACATGTACAGTGACAAAGTCTTGGCCCATTTTAGGGAAGTGTTAAAGAGACGCCAGAAACAGAGCTCTCTGGACAGTTATTTTGCGAGACAGGACTCCAGTGACTCTCGAGCTGGTCCTAGTGGCATTAAGAAACAGAGAAGTAACCCCAGAAAAGCAATTGGTACCTGAGGTGTTGATGGAAAGGGATTTCCCTTCCAAACTGTAAATAATCCAATCTGTCTCCTCCTCCAGTCTTCCATACACTGAGAAGAATCGCCAGTAAAGGTAAGTGTTATGCTCTTAATGTTTCATTCATCATTTCCCATTGTATTGTTTATGTACTACATATATATTTCATGTAAAAAAAATTTTTGTTTTAATACTTCTGGGTGTCAGGAACGGATTAATTGTATTTACATTATTTCTTATGGGGAAAATTGATTCGAAAATCGTAGATTTCGATAATAGTTGCACCTCCAGGAACGGATTAAATACGATAAACGAGGGACCACTGTATGTGCTACTTTTCCTAACACTAATTTCCATCAGGGTTCATCAAAGAATAATTCAAAACATTCCAGTTCAGTGGCATTATTCCCAAGTGTACAAGATGGCCGTATTCCACTTTAAGTTTCATCAAAGTGATGGGGATTGGGAACAAAATTGGCACCTTGCTGCCAATCCCAGATGCAGTCTGCTAGTGGGTACTGGATATTGACAGGTGGTTGTGGCTGTGCAGACTGTGGTTGTGCAGGTTGGTGTGGTGGGTGGGTGGGTAAGGGTGGCCTTTGTTGTAGATGTGTTGAGTCAGTGGTGTGGCTACCACCATGGGCCGCTGCTTGTGCCTCATGGCGCATGGCACCACCACCATCTGATGACCCATGCATATTATCCATCCCAATTGTAACAATATCATTGTCATTTTCACTATCTGTTACTGGTGTTGGGCCATGAGATGTACTCCTTCCCCTTGGAATAGCATATGACATACTACCAGAATGCATGTAGTGTCATACATACTGGTGCTTCACTGGAGAATATTCCTCCTCACTGTCACTACTGGAATTGTAATCAAGAGCTTGGAAATCACAATCACTATCACTGTCATTATCACTGCTCACATCTGAGTCCTGGACATGGGGAAATAGGAGTTTCCTCTTTCACTGTGGTACAACTGAACATGAACAAGATGGCCCATCTCCAAAGGTGGAAAGTCATCTGGGTTTTCAGCACTATTTCCATTATCCTGTGCATTGCTTTCAGTCACAAACTCCTCAGAACCATGAAATTCATCTTCACTGACACTTGGGAAGCTGTCACTTTGGAACAAAGGAGTCCCAATTCGCCGGAGAGTGAGATATTTCTTACCGCGAGGCATAGTAAACAAGGACTACTGAAATGGCGTTCCCACAGTGCAATGCGGGTGCCCTGATTTTTTCATACTGCGCACACTGACCACGCAGGTCCATACTTTCACGTGTAGGCCTACCAGCTTTCTCCCACTAGATTTGAAGCCCCTAGAATTTTGGCGTATTAATATGTCACCAACACTGGCCTGTAAGACGTATCTATGGCACAAACAGTGACAGGGTTAGTGTATAGGCTGACATGACTTGATAAGATCTCCTAGTTTCACTTGATGATTTAGATTTAGAATGGATATAAGAAAGTACTGGTTGAGCAATAGAATTGTGGAACAATCAGCCAAGTAGCATTATTAAAGCTAATACAGTGGTCCCTCGATAATCGTATGGCTCGATAATGGTTTTCGAAAATCGTAATGTTATTTTCGTCAAAACATTGGATCGCTAATTGTCGTTTGACTCGCGAATAGTCGTTCGTCTGGGACGCATACTCACGGCTCTGAGCCGTTCCCATCCAGTGTGCCATTGTTTAGCAGTGAGCGACGGTCCCCTCACTTGTTCATACGAAATATTTCATAATATTCCATTCATTTTAGTGCTTGCAACTACTAAATAAGCTACCATGGCTCCAAAGAAAGCTCCTAGTGCCAAGCCTTTGGTAAAGAAGGTGAGAAATACGATTGAATTTAAGAAAAACATCATTGAACAATATGAAAGTGGCATACGTGTGGCCGAACTGGCCAGGATGTATAACAAACCCCATTCAACCATAGCTTCCATCGTGGCCAAGAAAAAGGAAATCAAGGAAGCTGTTGTTGCAAAGGGGGTAAATATGCTGACAAAAATGAGATCACCAGTACTCGAAGATGTTGAGAAGTTATTATTGGTGTGGATAAACAAGAAACAATTAGCAGGAGATACTCTTATGACGTTGATTATTTGTGAAAAGGCTAGGCAGTTGCATGACGATCTGGTAAAGAAATTGCCTGCAACAAGTACTGATAATTGTGAATTTAAGGCCAGCAAAGGTTGGTTTGAGAGATTTAAGAAGTGTAGTGGCATACACAGTGTGAAATGTGGGGTAGGATGGAAAGATTTATGGAGAAACATCACCCTGAGAAGGATGTTTCAAGCCATATCGGCAACTTGTACAGTGACAGTCTTGGCCCATTTTAGGGAAGTTTTAAAGAGATGCCAGAAATAGAGCTCACTGGACACTTTTTTTGCAAGACAGGACTCCAGTGACTCTCAAGCTGATCCTAGTGGCATTAAGAAACAGAGAAGAGAAGTAACCCCAGAAAAGCACTTGGTACCTGAGGTGTTGATGGAAGGGGATTCCCCTTCCAAACAGTAACTAATCCAATCTCTCCTCCTCCAGTCTTCCATACACTGAGAAGAATCGCCAATAAAGGCAAGTGTTATGCTGTTAATGTTTCATTCATCATGTCCCATTGTATTGTTTATATACTGCATCTATATTTCATGCAAAAATTTTTTTTGTTTTAATACTTCTGGGTGTCAGGAACGGATTAATTGTATTTACATTATTTCTTATGGGGAAAATTGATTCGAAAATCGTCAATTTCGATAATAGTCACACTTCCAGGAACGGATTAATTACGAAAAACGAGGGACCACTGTACCTATGGTAGCTTTAAAATAGGCTGGACAAATACTGTACAAGTGAGAACATGGACCACTAGGCCTATTACAGTGCACCTCTGTTCTCATGAATACTCATCTTTGTGTAATGAGTTGCATATTTTAACTGCAGTAGTGTTGATACTGATTGCTATTTCAGGGATTACTAACTCGGCACCAGGTGGAACTGGCAAGGTCATGGCGGCAGCATCAAGAAGAAGAGAGGCGGCGCAATATAAATGCTGAAGTTCAGTGCAGGATGGCCAAGATAAAAATTCTTTATGATGCAACACCAGTATTAAAGGTAAATAATTAATGCACAGCTTTGTTTATATTAATGCAGTCAGTGCCTGACCAGCCAGACTGTGGCTCATATGTTAGATTATGTTTGGCCAGCAGTAACAGCATAATTGATCAGACTCTGATCCACCAGGAGGCCTAGTCAAAGACTGGGTCTTGGAGGCATTGACCCTTGGAACAGCCTTCAGGTAGACCTCAGTTCACTCACAGTATTGCCATTACATTGGATTTTTCTGAGTAATGTCTTCAGGATGAAAGAATGAATGTACAGTGGGTGCTCTCACATCCTTCTAGAGATCATGATATCATTGTCAAACAGCTGATCTGAAAATGGGCAGATAAAAGATTGAGCAGCTCTGATATCTGACCTGTCAGGTCAGATATCAGAGCTGCTCAGGGAAGTGCAGTTAATTAACTGCATTTCTTTAAATGAGTCTGGTTACTAAATTGGCTAGAAGACCCTGTCTTTAGGAGACAAAGTGATGAGGACAGGTGCAGAGGAAGCTTTTATTGCAACTACATTTGATTCTTGTGTAGAGCTTTTTTTATTCCAGCAATTAGTGTTTTAAGGTCAGCTATTGGTATCTGGAAACACATCCTTCACAAGAAGTCTAAAGGTATGATATCAGGGTAGTAAGAGGGGGCCATTGAATGAGATTATTATACCCAGTCCATCTGCTAGGGAACTTCATGTTATGATAACTATGTTATTGCATGCAGAGAACTGCATTTTCACATCTTTTACAATATTATTGCAATAAATTTTTGTAATTGGAAAATGTCATGGACACCCAGTGTGCAGTGTTAATGAACGACAAAAATGTCGCATGTAGCTGTGTGAAGTGAATCAGTAGAGACATTCACCAATTATTGCACAGAAAACAATATCCATATTTGTTTAACAAATTTGGCAAATTAGGTCTAACATAGCCTAATAACAGTGCAAACCTTGCTCTGAGAAAAATACACCAGCACTTTCAATTTTGAGCTGCTCAGAATTTGTGTTCTCAGGTTACTGCACAGAAAAATTATTATTATTACAATCATAACTCAGTGCTAAACTCACTAGGGTCTTCACAGAAAAATACCCTGCAACTCTTTTAATCATTAAGTTAGCACCTACACAGCTCAAACTCAATTCAAAAATTTCTCTATTTAACCCTTAAACGGTCCAAAGAGATCGACGTTCAAATTCGTAGTGCTACAAAAGTAGATCTACTTTTTTTTACATATTTTCAAATATAACAAAAAAAAATGTAGATAAAAGTTTTTTACACGTTTTTAAATGTAAAACAAAAAAGATCTACATTTTTTTACATACTTTTAGATGTTGAAAAACAATATATACGGTTGGACCATTTAACCATTAAACGGTCCAAACGTATATATGCGTTCACGCGCGTAGCGCCTATATACAGTGTACCCCCTGTTAACGATATTTTTTCATTCCAGAAGTATGTTCAGGTGCCAGTACTGACCGAATTTGTTCCCATAAGGAATATCGTGAAGTAGATTAGTCCATTTCAGACCCCCAAACATACACGTACAAACGCACTTACATAAATACACTTACATAATTGGTTGCATTGGGAGGTGATCGTTAAGCGGGGGTCCACTGTATACGTATATATACGTTTTCTTTGTCATTCATTCAACATTGCCACAATAAGCCTGAGTCACCTAAACATGAGAGAATGGGTGTGCGCACTCACTGTGTGCCATATTAAAATAATTGGGGATGCCTGGGCACAATATGCTCTTTTTTCCTTTTAAAAGAAAAGATTTTTTTTTTTTTCCTAAAAAAATTTGGGGCACTACGCGAGTGAACATACAGTGGACCCCCGCTTAACGATCACCTCCTAATGTGACCAATTATGTAAGTGTATTTATATAAGTGCGTTTGTACGTGTATGTTTGGGGGTCTGAAATGGACTAATCTACTTCACAATATTCCTTATGGGAACAAATTCGGTCAGTACTGGCACCTGAACATACTTCTGGAATGAAAAAATATCGTTAATCGGGGGTCCACTGTATATATACGTTTGGACCGTTTAAGGGTTAAGGGTTAAGGTATACGGCATTTAGGGTTTGAAGTCAGTCATAGGAAGCATTCTCCAGTTATTACAGAGAAATCAACATGTTCAGTAAAACTGGCACATTAGTTTACACAGTCCAGTAACACTGTGAATCTTCCTTTGAACAAAACCCACCATCACTGAAAGTTTGAAACTACTATGAATTCCACTCCAAGTTTATTATATTAACATGTTAGTAAATTAAAAAAAAAAGAAATCACCTTTACAGCCTAGACTTAAAGGATATCATCCATTTCCTAAATTGCATCAGCCATTAAACCCTTGACTGTCAACCCCAAATCCTGAGGTGTCTCCTGCAAAATTCCCCCCCCCCTCCCTCCCCCCCCAAAAAAATTCTTATGAAATGATAGAGAATCTTTTCCCGATTGTAATGACACCAAAAGAATGAAATTTGATGGGAAACTGATAGAATTACGCTCTCGCAAAGTTAGCGACCTCGGCGATATTTACAGATCGGCGATTTCGCCCACTTTGAGCCCTATTTTCGGCTAATTCCCTTGTTCCAGTCGACCAAACTCATAGCTATTTCTTTAGAACTTCATTTTTTCTATCAGTTGAGTACAAGAAACTGCCCATTTACCGATTTTAACTACCCAGTAACGTGGTCAGAAATTTGCAATTTGGCCAATTTCACAAAAATTTAAAAATATGACAACTTCAAAATAGGGTTCAGAATGAACAATGCAGACATTCCTGGCTCTAAAATAACATTTTCTTTGTTCATCAGCCACATCTCCATTCTGCTCTGATATTACTCTTGCTTTCTATTTTGAATTTTTATTCAAACAAAAAATAGAAGATTTACTGTTATGCAGACTATTGCAATATTGTAATAATTGTATAAATAATGTCAACCCATTCATGACTGCATATTAGAATGGCTACTTGGTCATTTATTGGAAAATGACATCATTTGTTTACTTCTGAATATCGGCAAAAATAAAATATTTCCCCTACTTTGAGCTCCATTTCAAGGTTCTTTTCATAGTAAAACCAATCAAAATCACCTCTATTTCTATAATATGTTTTCCATTCTATCAAATGAGACCAAGAAAACGAGAATACAACCATAAATACTTTATGAAAATACACCACAAAGTCAGCGTTTTAATCCAAAAAAAAACGGTTTGAGTTTTTTTTTTCTCATTATGCACTGCGTGCTGCAGGATTTTTTTTATATGGTGCACACTGACCACACAGACCCATTCTTTCACATGTGGGCCTACCAGCTTTCTCCTGCTTGATTCGAAGCCGCTAGAATTTATGAGTAGATATACGTCAAAAATGGTGGCTCGTAAGACGTATATATACGACCAAAACAGTCAAAGGGTTAAAGATTCTAGGCATTCAAATGAGACATACTCCATTTTGAAAGTAACGGGTGTAAAATTGGCACCTCCACACTTAAATTTTGAAGCTGATCAAAAAAGGGTTTCCCCAAGCTATTGCACAGAAATGAAAATTAGGAACGATTTCATAAACCTGACAAAAGGGCACCTTCCTTTCCCAATAGTTGTATGAATTTTTTTTCTAGTTGTAGTTCACCATCATTCAAAATTTGATGCTGATCAGGCAAAGCATTCTGAAATCAGAGGAAGAAAAATTCCAACAAATACCATAAATTCCTTGTCAGGGAATATCTTTCTTTCTTTCAACGCACGAGCCGTATCCCACTGAGGTGGGGTGGCCCAAAAGGAAAAACGAAAGCTTCTCCTTTTAAATTTAGTAATTTATGCAGGAGAAGGGGTTACTAGCCCCTTGCTCCCGGCATTTTAGTCGCCTCTTACGACATGCATGGCTTACGGAAGAACTCTGTTCCACTTCCCCATGGAGGTAAGAGGAAATAAACAAGAACAAGAACTAGAAAGAAAATAGAAGAAAACCCAGAGGGGTATGTATATATATACATACAGTGGACCCCCGCTTAACGATCACCTCCCAGTGCGACCAATTATGTAAGTGTATTTATGTAAGTGCGTTTGTACGTGTATGTTTGGGGGTCTGAAATGGGCTAACCTACTTCACAGTATTCCTTATGGGAGCAAATTCAGTCAGTACTGGCACCTGAACATACTTCTGGAATGATAAAAATATCGTTAACCGGGGGTCCACTGTATATGCTTGTACATGTATGTGTAGTGTGACCTAAGTGTAAGGAGAAGTAGCAAGATGTACCTGAAATCTTGCATGTTTCTTTCTTTCTTTCAACACACCAGCCGTATCCCACCGAGGCGGGGTGGCCCAAAAGGAAAAATGAAAGTTTCTCCTTTTACATTTAGTAATATATACAGGAGAAGAGGTTACTAGCCCCTTGCTCCTGGCATTTTAGTCGCCTCTTACAACATGCATGGCTTACGGAGGAAGAATTCTGTTCCACTTCCCCATGGAGGTAAGTGGAAATAAACAAGAACAAGAACTAGTAAGAAAGATAGAAGAAAACCCAGAGGGGTGTGTATATACGTATATGCTTGTACATGTATGTGTAGTGTGACCTATAAGTAGAAGTAGCAAGACGTACCTGAAACCTTGCATGTTTATGAGACAGAAAAAGGGACACCAGCAATCCTACCATCATGTACAACAATTACAGGCTTTCGTTTTACACTCATTTGACAGGATGGTAGTACCTCCCTAGGCGGTTGCTGTAGTCAGGGAATATATTAAATTAAATGTTATTAAATTTTGTCATCTTTCAGTGGGTGCTAAAAATTTATTTGTTTCTTCATTAATTAGGTACGCATTGTTGATCATGATGGTGCTGGAGCCATGTTGACAGTCTGGAGACCATCGGAGGAGCTTAGGCAGACGCTCACAGAAGGCAGCCACATGATCTTAAATTATCTCCTGGCTACAGGTCTTAGGTAAGAAGAATTTCAAGAAGCCTCAAAATTATTATTGCCTTGATATGTAAACTTTATTTATAAATATCAACAATATATGTATTAATTTTGTTTTATTATGAAAATAGATAAGAATATGTACCAAAATTCTTGCCAAAATGTTTTAGTTGAATCATCTATCTATACATTCAATTTTATACTTCGTTTTTCTCAATACAGTAAAATGACACTGTGGCATAATTTGACCCAATTACTAAATTTATTTTAATTTCATTCTTGAAGGAAAATCACTGAAAATTTATTATTATTATTATTATCACACTGGCCGATTCCCATCAAGGCAGGGTGGCCCGAAAAAGAAAAACTTTCACCATCATTCACTCCATCACTGTCTTGCCAGAAGGGTGCTTTACACTACAGTTTTTAAGCTGCAACATTTACACCCCTCCTTCAGAGTGCAGGCACTGTACTTCCCATCTCCAGGACTCAAGTCCGGCCTGCCGGTTTCCCTGAATCCCTTCATAAATGTTACTTTGCTCACACTCCAACAGCACGTCAAGTATTAAAAACCATTTGTCTCCATTCACTCCTATCAAACATGCTCACGCATGCCTGCTGGAAGTCCAAGCCCCTCGCACACAAACCTCCTTTACCCCTCCCTCCAACCCCTTTCCTGGGCCCGGGACCCTACCACCCCTTCCTTCCACTACGACTGATACACTCTTGAAGTCATTCTGTTTCACTCCATTCTCTCTACATGTCCGAACCACCTCAACAACCCTTCCTCAGCCCCTGGACAACAGTTTTGGTAATCCCGCACCTCCTCCTAACTTCCAAACTATGAATTCTCTGCATTATATTCACACCACACATTGCCCTCAGACATGACATCTCCACTGCCTCCACCTTTCTCCTCGCTGCAACATTCATCACCCATGCTTCACCCCCATATAAGAGTGTTGGTAAAACTATACTCTCATACTTTCCCCTCTTTCCCTCCAAGGACAAAGTTCTTTGTCTCCACAGACTCCTAAGTGCACCACTCACCCTTTTCCCTCATCAATTCTGTGATTCACTTCATCTTTCATAGACCCATCCGCTGACACGTCCACTCCCAAATATCTGAATACATTCACCTCCTCCATACTTCTCCCTCCAATCTGATATCCAATCTTTCATCACCTAATCTTTTTGTTATCCTCATAACCTTACTCTTTACTGTATTCACCTTTAATTTTCTTCTTTTGCACACCCTACCAAATTCATCCACCAATCTCTGCAACTTCTCTTCAGAATCTCCCAAGAGCACAGTGTCATCAGCAAAGAGCAACTGTGACAACTCCCACTTTGTGTGTGATTCTTTATCTTTTAACTCCTCGCCTCTTGCCAAGACCCTCGCATTCACTTCTCTTACAACCCCATCTATAAATATATTAAACATAAATAACAAAAAGGCACAATACCGTGACTGGAACGATACACTACCACTACTACTACCTCTTCTTCTTCTACTTCATCTACTGATGAAATTAGACACATGTGCGGCGTCTGGTTGTCTTTGTTGTGGACTTTCGCCATCCAGTGGCTGGGTTTGGGGGGCGAAACGTCTACGGTGGGGATGCCCGGGTGTTGTGCATGTGTCATTTCATCCTGTCGGTATTATATACAATTCTTGTACTACTACTACTACTACTACTACCACTACTACTACCACTACTACTACCACTACTACTACCACTACTACTACCTCCACCTCTTCCTGCCTATATATAGCCGTCCTGCCCTCCTCTGTTAGGTGACTTGTCAATGGTCCAAGTCGGACCGAAACGTCGTCGTAAGCTTCTGTCTTTTATGTGCGGGTTATTTGTGTATATTAAACAACCACGGTGACATCACACATCCTTGTCTAAGGCCTACTTTTACTGGGAAATAATTTCCCTCTTTCCTACATACTCTAACTTGAGCCTCACTATCCTCGTAAAAACCTTCACTGCTTTCAGTAACCTACCTCCTACACCATACACCTGCAACATCTGCCACATTGCCCCCCTATCCACCCTGTCATTGCCTTTTCCAAATCCATAAATGCCACAAAGACCTCTTTAGCCTTATTCTAAATACTGGTTTCACTTATATGTTTCCTGTAAACACCTGGTCCACACACCCCCTACCTTCCTAAAGCCTCCTTGTTCATCTGCTATCCTATTCTCCATCTTACTCTTAATTCTTTCAATAATAACCTACCATACACTTTAACAGGTATACTCAACAGACTTACCCCCTATGATTTTTGCACTCTCTTTTATCCCTTTGCCTTTATACAAAGGAACTATGCATGCTCTCTGCCAATCCCTAGGTACCTTACCCTCTTCCATACATTTATTAAAATTGCACCAACCACTCCAAAACTTTTATCCCCACCTGCTTTTTAAAATTTTTATCTTTATCCCATCAATCCCGCTGCCTTTCCCCCTTTCATTTTACCTACTGCCTCACGAACTTCCTCCACACTCACAACTGGCTCTTCCTCCCTCCTGCAAGATGTTATTCCTCCTTGCCCCATACACGAAAACACAACTTCCCTATCTTCATCAACATTTAACAATTCCTCAAAAAATTCCCTCCATCTTCCCAATACCTCTAACTCTCCATTTAATAACTCTCCTCTCCTATTTTTAACTGACAAATCCATTTGTTCTCTAGGCTTCCTTTAAATTGTTAATCTCACTCCAAAACTTTTCTTATTTTCAACAAAATTTGTTGATAACATCTCACCACTCTCTCATTTGCTCTCTTTTACATTGCTTCACCACTCTCTTAACCTCTCTCTTTTCCCCCATATACTCTTCCCTCCTTGCATCACTTCTACTTGTAAAAACTTCTCATATGCTAACTTTTTCTCCCTTACTACTCTCTTTACATCATCATTGCACCAATCGCTCCTCTTCCCTCCCGCACCCACTTTCCTGTAACCACAAACTTCTGCTGAACACTCTAACACACATTTTTTAAACCTACCCCATACCTCTTCGACCCCATTGCCTATGCTCTCATTTGCCCATCTATCCCCAATAGCTGTTTATAATCTTTCCCAACTGCCTCCTCTTTTAGTTTATAAACCTTTACCTCTCTCTTCCCTGATGCTTCTATTCTCCTTGTATCCCATCTACCTTTTACTCTGTGTAGCTACAACTAGAAAGTGATCTGATAAAATCTGTGGCCCCCCTATAAACATGTACATCCTGAAGTCTACTCAACAGTCTTTTATCTATTATTTATTATTATCACACTGGCCGATTCCCACCAAGGCAGGGTGGCCGAAAAAGAAAAACTTTCACCATCATTCACTCCCTCACTGTCTTGCCAGAAGGGTGCTTTTTCACTACGTTTTTAAACTGCAACATTAAACACCCCCCTTCAGAGTGCAGGCACTGTACTTCCCATCTCCCGGACTCAAGTCCGGCCCGCCCCGGTTTTCCCTGAATCCCTTCATAAATGTTACTTTGCTCACACTCCAACAGCACGTCAAGTATTAAAACCATTTGTCCCCCATCCACTCCTATCCAAAAACGCTCACGCATGCCTGCTGAAGTCCAAGCCCCTCGCACACAAAACCTCCTTTATAACCCCTCCCTCCAACCTTCCTAGGCCACCCCTACCCCGCCTTCCAAACAGACTAACACTCTTTAAGTCATCTTTCGCTCCCTTCTCTACATGTCCGAACCACCTCAACAACCTTCCTCAGCCTCTGATAACAGTTTTGGTAATCCCGCACCTCCCCTAACTCCAAACTAACAATCTCTGATTAATCAACCACCCATTGCCCTCAGACATGACACTCCACTGCCCCACCTTCTCCCGCTGCACTTCATCACCCTCGCTTCACCCCATATAAGAGCGTTGGTAAACTATCTCTCATACATTCCCCTCTGCCTCTAAAGGACAAATCTTGTCTCCACAACTCCTAATGCACCACTCACTCTTTTTCCCTCATCAATTATGATTCACCTCACTTCTAGACCCCTCCCTACACGTCCACTCCCAAATATCTGAATACGTTCACCTCCCCAACTCTTCCCTCCAATCTGATATTCCAAACTTTCATCACCTAATCTTTTTGTATCCTCATAACCTACCTTTCCGTATTCACCTTTAATTTTCTTCTTTTGCAAAACCCTACCCAATTTATCCATCAATCTCTGCAGCTTCCTCAGAATTTTCCCAAAGCACAGTGTCATCAGCAAAGAGCACGTGACAACCCCACTTTGTGTGTGATTCTTTATCTTTTACTCCCCCCTCTTGCCAAGACCCGCATTTCTTCTCTTACAACCCCATCTATAAATATATTAAAAAACCAGTGACATCACACATCTTGTCTAAGGCCTTCTTTACTGGAAAAATTCTCTTTCCTACAACTCTAACTTGAGCCTCACAAAACCGTAAAAACCTTCACTGCTTTCGTAACCCACCTCCTACACCCATACACTTGCAACATCTGCCACATTTGCCCCCTATCCACCTGTCATACGCCTTTTCCAAATCCCTTTAATCCACAAAGACCTCTTAGCTTATCCTTTAAATACTGTTCACTTATATGTTTTCACTGTAACACCCGTCCACACCCCCCTACCTTTCCTAAAGCCCCTTGTTCTTTTGCTTTTCCATTCCCGTCTTACTCTTAATCTTCAATTTTATCTACCATACACTTACCAGGTACACTCAACAGACCTTTACCCCTATAATTTTGCACTCTCTTTTATCCCCTTTGCTTTTACAAGGAACTTGCAAAGCTCTCGCCAATCACTAGTACCCTTACCCTCTTCCATACATTTTTTAAATAATTGCACCACCATCCAAAAAAATATCCCCACCGTTTCATTTCTATTTATCCCATCAATCCCCGGGTGCCTTACCCCTTCATTTTACATACGCCTCACACTTCCCCCACACTCAAAACGGCTTCCTCACTCCACAAGATGTTATTCCTCCTTGCCTATACCGAAATCACAGTTCCCTATCTTCATCAACATTTAAAAAATCCTTTAAAATATTCCCTCCATCTTCCAAATACCTCAACTCTCCATTAATAACTCCCTCTCCTATTTTTAACTGACAAATCCATTTGTTCTCTAGGCTTTCTTAACTTGTAATCTCACTCCAAAACTTTTTCTTATTTCAACAAAATTTTGATAATCTCACCCACTCCTCATTTTTCATCTTTTTACATTTTCCCTTTACCACTCTCTTAACCTCTCTCTTTTTCTCCCATAATCTTCCCCCTTGCATCACTTCTACTTTGTAAAAACTTCTCCATAAAGCTAACTTTTCTCCCTTTTACTCCTTTCATCATCATTCCCACCAATCGCTCCTTCCCTCCTGCACCACTTCTGTACCACAAAATTCTGCTGAACACTCTAACAACTAAATTTTAAACCTACCCATACCTCTTCACCCCATTGCCTATGCACTCATTAGCCCACTATCCTCCAATAGCTGTTTAATCTTACCCTAACTGCCTCCTCTTTTATTTAATAAACCTCACTTTTCCTCCCTGATGCTTCTATCTCCTTGTATCCCATCTACCTTAATCTCATTGTAGCTACAACTGAAAGTGATTATATACTGTGGCCCCTCATAAACATGTACATCCTGAAGTCTACCAACACTTTTATCTACATACAAATCCAACAACTACTGTCATTTCGCCCTACATCTTCTGTTATACTTATTTATCCTCTTTTTCTTAAAATTATTACCATAACTAAACCCCTTCTTACAAAGTTCAATCAAAAGGGTCCATTATCATTACACCTGGCACCCCAACTTACCTCCCACACCCTCTCTAAAGTTTCTCCTACAATACATTCCAACGAACTACTGTCATTCGCCCTACATCATATCCCTTTTTATACTTATTATCCTTTTTCTTAAAATATGTATTACCTATAACTAAACCCCTTTCTATACAAAGTTCAATCAAAGGGCTCCCATTATCATTTACACCTGGCACCCCAAACTTACCTACCACACCCTCTCTAAAAGTTTCTCCTACTTTAGCATTCAGGTCCCCTACCACAATTACTCTCACTTGGTTCAAAGGCTCCTATACATTCACTTAACATCTCCCAAAATCTCTCTCTCTCCTCTACAGGAAAATTTAATGAAAACTTAATGAATTTTATATTTTCTCACAAATTCTGGTGTGATAACTGATAAAAAGGTGTTTTCTCAGAATACAATGAATTTTATTAGTAGTTAATAAGTAAAATTAAAGATCATTGTGGTTATCATTTAAACCTCAAATAACAGGAACTTAAACATTCCTGCTTTAAGCGACTATTCTTAAAATGATTTTTATCCTTCTCAGCAGATTATCTTTCTTTCAACACACCGGCCGTATCCCACCAAGGCGGGGTGGCCCAAAAGGAAAAACGAAAGTTTCTCCTTTTACATTTAGTAATATATACAGGAGAAGTGGTTACTAGCCCCTTGCTCCCGGTATTTTAGTTGCCTCTTACAACACACATAGCTTACGAAGGAAGAATTCTGTTCCACTTCCCCATGGAGATAAGAGGAAATAAACAAGAACTAGAAAGAAAATAGAAGAAAACCCAGAGGGGTGTGTATATATATGCTTGTACGTGTATGTGTAGTATGACCTAAGTGTAAGTAGAAGTAGCAAGACGTACCTGAAATCTTGCATGTGTATGAGACAGAAAAAAAAAGACACCAGCAATCTTACCATCGTGTAAAACAATTACAGGCTTCCATTTTACACTCACTTGGCAGGACGGTAGTACCTCCCTGGGCGGTTGCTGTCTACCAGCCTGCTACCTAGGAGTAGACTATCTGTAGGGCTATAATAATCATGACTTCTCTCTGCCTATTTTTTAAAATGAATGTATATTTTTGTATACGATCCTAATAAATTTCTTTGTCACTACTTTTCTACAAGTTATCATTTGATTGTATGACTCCTTATCATTCTCTCTTGTGCAATTTTTTATTAGGAGTCCCACAAGAATTTTAATGGATCTCATGTTAAGCTTATTAAATGTTTCAGGATTTTATTCTTTGATAGTAGAATATGGTAGGATATAGTGTGATTAAAGTACTGTGCATGAAATACTGGTTTTGTATTCACATCACTATCTTGTAGTTGGATGTAGAACATTAATTACGTCATATTTTCAACAGAAATGGATGTCTGCAGTTCAGAGCTACACGACACACTAGATGGGAACAGGGTGCAGATGGCCAAGATAATTTCCCTGAATTTGATCGTCAAGCAACTCCTTTGTGTTTGATGACATCAGGGGAATTAAAGCCAATGTGGAATGAAGTAGATGTTGCAGGAGTTGTATTGAGGGTGGGGCTGCTGGACAAAGGAGCACAAATAGTTCACATTGTTGACCATCATGTTAACATTCTTGCTCTCAGATTTTGGGGAGGTATTAAGGTAAGTGCAATATTAAGTTGATGTTCATATAATTTAAGTGCAGTTATTTACTATTGACATATGATGTTCTGCACTTAAAAATTAAGTGCTTTATGCTCATTTCTGCACTTTCTACTATATTAACAGGAGTGTGGAGTAGAAGATATTGTGAAACTAGGTTCTATCATATGTGTGTCAAATGGTAGTTGGCGTGGGCACACAGGTGGAAGGTTTGGATGTATACATGTAACAGAACTGACCGTCATTAGCACTGCACCTCGAAGTGCCCACCTACATGAAGCTGCTACCCATCTGAAGGAAAGTATTAAGGTGAGACTAGAATAAATAAATTCATGCAAAGTTTCATCACATGTAATTTTTTTTTTTTAACAAGCCAACCGTCTCCTACAGAGGCAGGGTGAAAAATGACTAAAATGACTAAATTAAATTATCTTTAGATTCTAAACTTTAGAAGTACTGCATGTAACTTTGAAGATGTAGAGATGTGTGACTGAAATATTCTGAAAAAAATAATGGAGACCTATCCCTTTGGTCCTGCATGAGCCTTGTAGGTTTAGTGCTTCTTTTGATTTTTTGGGTTCTGGTGAAGCAAGTTTCCATATACAGTGCATGAATGGATTTATGGAAGGGTAACACATTATTCATTAAATCTGCTAACTTTATATCATAATGTAGACTTACAGTGGTACCTCGAGTTACGAACTTAAATCGTTCCAGAAGGCTGTTCAAGTGCCGATACTGAACGAATTTGTTCCCATAAGGAATAATGTAAATTAGATAAGTCCGTTTCAGACCCCCAAAAATACACTTACAAAAGTACTTACAAAAATACACGTACATAATTGTTCCAGTTGAGAGCTGTTCAAAACTCGAGTTACCACTGTATTTCTAATTTTAATGAACTTGCACTGTTGGAGCTTTTAAGAAACGAGTAATTGTGTGAATGAGGTGTGACATTCCAGGCAAGCCAAGGGTTCCCCCTTGTACAAAAATGTCACTTGTGTAGGTCAAACCTTGATTTTATTTCCAAATGTGAACATTTTACCATAATGTACCCGATAATCTTATATCTTGAGTTTTCCTTCTTGTTAATTTTTAAAATTAGTCAATGTTTTGAGATATAATTTAACAAATTGAATTTAGTGTAATTCATTTTACGTTAAATACTACTGTTTTTTTTTTTTACAGAATATGAAGGATCTGTTGCAAGAAGGTGATATGAAACTAGATAGACAATTTGACAGTCGTGCATTCCCTACTGAACCAACTTACGGACATGGGCATAATGATTCAGTAAAAAGTTTGCAAGAAGAAATTGCTCAACAACAGCCAAGATTTAAAGATAGTGTGGAAATCTCCAAACAAGAAAGTGGGAGTGTAATGGATAATGGATCTTTGAGCATAAATGGTGAGAAAATTGCCGATCCTAAACTCATTCGGCTGTATCAACGAACACGAGAAGTGCGTAGCAAGCTTAAGACACTAGGACAGTATGGGACACCATCTGCATTGCGCACTCTTCAGTCCCCACTTGCTTTAGGAGCTCGTAAACCATTTCGACTACCTTTCAAACAGCCACAAAAAACTGACAGTGCAGAAAATAAGAGTGAGTGATTATTTATCATAACATAGTTATGGTAACAAATGTTTTACTTAAGCTGTGCAGCCAAATCTTATTACTTACCATAAAACAATATTGGCATAACTGTGATTATGTAAAAAAAAAAGATAGTGCTGTGATAGCTGTAGTAGTTAATATTATATATTTCTTGAGAAGTGTATATTGTTGTATATGGGGCTATTTTTCTATATTTACAGTATACATGTATATTTTTTTTAAACACATTGGCCATCTCCCACTGAGGCAGGGTGACCCAAAAAGAACTAAAAAAAAAAAAAAAAAATTTCATCATTCAATACTTTCACCATCATTCACACATAAGCACTGTCTTTGTAGAGGCGCTCAGATACTGCAGTTTAGATGTCCCTTCAAACTGCCAATATCCCAAACCCCTCCTTGAAGTGCAGGCATTGTACTTCCCATTTCCAGTACTTATGTCCGGCTATATAAATCCCTTCACTAAATATTACCCTTCTCACACTCCAACAGCTCATCAGGTCCCAAAAACCATTAGTCTCCATTCACTCCTATCTACCACGCTCACACATGCATGCTGGAAGTCGAAGCCCCTCGCCCACAAAACTTCCTTTACCCCCTCCCTCCAACCTTTTCTAGGACGACCCCTACCCCGCCTTCCTTCCCCTAAAGATTTATATGCTCTCCAAGTCATTCTACTTGATCCATTCTCTCTAAATGACCAAACCACCTCAACAACCCCTCTTCAGCCCTCTGACTAATACTTTTAGTAACTCCACAGCTCCTCCTAATTTCCACACTCCAAATTCTCTGCATAATATTTACATCACACATTGCCCTTAGACACAACATCTCCACTGCCTACAGGCTCCCCTTTGCTGCAGCATTTACAACCCATGCTTCACACCCATATAAAAGTGTTGGTACCACTATACTTTCATACATTCCTTCTTTGCCTCCATGGATAACGTTTTTGTCTCCACAGATACCTCAGTGCACCACTCACATTTTTTCCTTCATCAATTCTATGGTTAACCTCATTCTTCAAAAACCCATCTGCTGACAAGTCAACTCCCAAATATCTGAAAACATTCACCTCTTCCATACTCCCTCTCTTCAATTTGATATCCAATTTTTCTTTATCTAAATCATTTGATACCCTCATCACCTTACTCTTATCTGTGTTCACTTTCAACTTTCTACCTTTACACACCACTAACCTTTGCAATTTTTCTTTAGAATCTCCCATAAGCACAGTATCATCAGCAAAAAGTAACTGTGTCACTTGCCATTTTGTATTTAATTCCCCATAATTTAATCCCACCCCTCTCCCGAACACCCTAGCATTTACTTCTCTTACAACCCCATGTATAAATATATTAAACAACCATGGTGACATTACACATCCCTGTCTAAGACCTACTTTCACCGGGAAGTAGTCCCCCTCTCTTCTACACACCCTAACCTGAGCCTCACTATCCTCATAAAAACTCTTTACAGCATTTAGTAACTTACCACCTATTCCATATACTTGCAACATCTGCCACATTTCTTCCCTGTCCACTCTATCATATGCCTTTTCTAAATCCATAAATGCAATAAAAACTTCCCTACCTTTATCTAAATACTGTTCACATATATGCTTCAATGTAAACACTTGATCTACACATCCCCTACCCACTGTAAAACCTCCTCGCTCATCTGCAATTCTACATTCTGTCTTGCCTCTAATTTTTTCAATACTAACCCTACCATACACTTTTCCTGGTCTTTCTTTCAACACACCGGCTGTATCCTACCGAGGCGGGGTGGCCCAAAAGGAAAAACGAAAGTTTTTCCTTTTGCATTTAGTAATATATACAGGAGAAGAGGTTACTAGCCCCTTGCTCCTGGCATTTTATTCGCCTCTTACAACACGCATGGCTTACGGAGGAAGAATTCTGTTCCACTTCCCCATGGAGGTAAGTGGAAATAAACAAGAACAAGAACTAGAAAGAAAATAGAAGAAAACCCAAAGGGGTGTGTATATATATGCTTGTAGATGTATGTGTAGTGTGACCTAAGTGTAAGTAGAAGTAGCAAGACATACCTGAAATCTTGCATGTGTATGAGACAGAAAAAAAAAAGACACCAGCAATCCTACCATCGTGTAAAACAGTTACAGGCTTAAGTTTTACATTCACTTGGCAGGACGGTAGTACCTCCCTGGGCGGTTGCTGTCTACCAACCTACTACCTAGGACTTTTCCTGGTATACTCTGTAAAAATTATAGAGGAATAAGTTTACTATCTCTTTTGTCCCCCTTCCCTTTATATAAAGGGACTATACACGCTCTCTGCCAATCCCTAGGTACCTTCCCCTCTTTCATACATTTATTAAACAAAAATACCAACCACTCCAACACTATGTCCCCCCCTGCTTTTAACATTTCTGTCATGATCCCGTCTGTTCCAGCTGTTTTACCCCCTTTCATTCTACGTAATGCCTCGTGCACCTCTCCTACACTCACATCCTGCTCTTCTTCACTCCTAAAAGATGGTATACCTCCCTGGCCAATGCATGAAATTACTGCCTTTCTTTCTTCGTCGATATTTAAAAGTTCCTCAAAATATTCTCGCCATCTACCCAAAACCTCCATCTCCCCATCTATTAACTCCCCTACTCTGTTTTTAACTGACAAATCCATTTGTTCCCTAGGCTTTCTTAACTTGTTTAACTCACTCCAAAATTTTTTCTTATTTTCATTAAAATTTTTTGACAGTACCTCTCCCACTCTATCATACGCTCTCATTTTGCACGCTCTCACCACTCTCTTCACCTTTCTTTTACTCTCCATATACTCTACTCTTCTTATAACACTTCTGCTTTGTAAATACCCCTCATAAATTACCTTTTTCTCTTTTATCACACTCTTTACTTCATCATTCCACCAATCACTCCTCTTTCTTCCTGCACCCACCCTCCTATAACCACAAACTTCTGCCCCACATTCTAATACTGCATTTTTAAAACCATTCCAACCCTCTTCAGTCCCCCCACTACTCATACCTGCACCAGCCCACCTTTCTGCCAATAGTTGCTTATATTTCACCCGAACTTCCTCCTCCCTTAGTTTATACACTTTCACCTCACTCTTACTTTATTGTTGCCATTTTCCTCTTATCCCATCTACCTCTTACTCTAACTGTAGCTACAACTAGATAATGATCCGATATATCAGTTGCCCCTCTATAAACGTGTACATCCTGGAGCCTACCCAACAACCTTTTATCCACCAATACATAATCTAACAAACGACTTTCATTACGTGCTACATCATATCTTGTATATTTATTTATCTTCTTTTTCATAAAATATGTATTACTTATTACCAAACCTATTTCTACACATAGTTTAATTAAAGGCTCCCCATTTTCATTTACCCCTGGCACCCCAGATTTACCTACTACTCCCTCCACAACATTTTTACCCACTTTAGCATTAAAATCCCCAACCACAAGTATGTACTCTCACACTTGGTTCAAAACTCCCCACGCATTCACTCAACGTTTCCCAAAATCTCTCTCTCTCTCTATACTTCTCTCTTCCCCAGGTGCATATATGCTTACTATAACCCACTTCTCACATCCAACCTTTATTTTACTCCACATAATCCTTGAATTAATACATTTATAGTCCCTCTTTTCCTGCCATAGCTTATCCTTCAACATTATTGCTACTCCTTCTTTAGCTCTAACTCTAGTAGAAACCTCTGACCTAATCCCATTTATTCCTCTCCACTGAAACTCACCCACCTCCTTCAGCTTTGTTTCACTTAAAGCCAGGGCATCCAGCTTCTTCTCATTCATAACATCCACAATCATCTCTTTCTTATCATTCGCACAACATCCACGCACATTCAGACTTCCCACTTTGACAATTTTCTTCTTATTCTTTTTAATAATCTTTACAGGAAAAGGGGTTACTAGCCCATTGTTCCTGGCATTTTAGTTGACTTTTACAACACGCATGGCTTACGGAGGAAAGATTCTTATTCCACTTCCCCATGGATATAAAAGTACTAAGAACAAGAACTAAGATAAAATCAAAGAAAACTCAGATGTGTGTGTATAAATAAACATGTATGTTTAGCGTGACCTAAGTCTAAGCAGAAGTAGCAAGACGTACCTTTAACCTTGCATATTTATGAGACAGACAAAAGACACCAGCATTCCTACCATCATGTAAAACAATTACAGGCTTTCGTTTACACACTTGGCAGGACGGTAGTACCTCCCTGGGTGGTTGCTGTTTACCAACCTACTACCTATATATATTTTTTTTTTTTTTTTTTTTTTTTTTTTTTTTTTTTTTTTTTTTTTTTTTTTTTTTCAACAAGTCGGTCGTCTCCCACCGAGGCAGGGTGACCCAAAAAAGAAAGAAAATCCCCAAAAAGAAAATACTTTCATCATCATTCAACACTTTCACCACACTCACACATTACCCACTGCTTTTGCAGAGGTGCTCAGAATAAAAACAGTTTAAAAGCATATACGTAAGAGATACACAACATATCCCCAAACTGCCATATCCCAAACCCCTCCTTTAAAGTCAGGCATTGTACTTCCCATTTCCAGGACTCAAGTCCGACTATATGAAAATAACCGGTTCCTGAATCCCTTCACTAAATATTACCCTGCTCACACTCCAACAGATCGTCAGGCCCCAAAGTATCATTCGTCTCCATTCACTCCATCTAACACGCCGTGCACGCTTGTGGAAGTCCAAGCCCCTCCCCCACAAAACCCCTTTACCCCCCTTTCCAACCCTTTCGAGGACGCCTACCCCTCTTTCCTTCCCCATAGATTTATATGCTTTCCATGTCATTCTACTTTGATCCATTCTCTCAAATGACCAAACCACCTCAACAACCCCTCTTCTGCCCCTGACTAATGCTTTTATTAACTCCACACCTTCTCCTAATTTCCACACTCCGAATTTTCTGCATAATATTTACACCACACATTGCCCTTAGACAGGACATCTCCACTGCCTCCAACCGTCCCCCTCGCTGCTGCATTTACCACCCAAGCTTCACACCATATAAGAGTGTTGTATACTATACTTTCATACATTCCCTTCTTTGCCTCCTAGATAACGTTTTTTGACTCCACATATACCTCAACGCACCACTCACCTTTTTTTCCCTCATCAATTCTATGATTAACCTATCCTTCATAAATCCATCCGCCGACACGTCAACTCCCAAGTATCTGAAACATTCACTTCTTCCATACTCCTCCTCCCCAATTTATATCCAATTTTTCTTTATCTAAATCTTTTGATACCCTCATCACCTTACTCTTTTCTATGTTCACTTTAATTTTCCCCTACCTTTACACACATTCTCAAATCATCCATAACCTTGCAATTTTTCTTTAGAATCTCCCATAAGAAAGTATCATCAGCAAAAAGTAACTGTGTAAATTTTCCCATTTTAATTTGATTCCCATAATTTAATCCACCCCTCTCCGAAAACCCTAACAATTACTTCTTTTACAACCCATCTTAAATAATTTTAAAACAACCATGGTTCTTTAAACACATCCCTGTCTAAGACCTACTTTTACCGGGAAAATTCTCCCTCTTTTCTACACCACCCTAACTGAGCCTCATATCCTCAAAAAAGCTCTTTACAGCATTTATTAACTTACCACCTATTCCATATACTTGCAACTCTGCCCATTGCTCCTCTTCCACTCTATCATATGCTTTTCAAAATCCAAAAATGCAAAAAAAACTTCCCTACCTTTATCTAAATACTGTTTACATATATGCTTCAATGTAAACATTGATCTACACATCCCCCTACCCACTCTGAAACCTCCTTTGTTCTCCGCATTCTACATTCGTCTTCCCTTTAAATTCTTTCAATTTTAACCCACCGTATACTTTCCTGGTATACTCAGTAAAACTTATTCCTCTATAATTTTACAATCTCTTTGTCCCCTTTCCCTTTAAAAAGGGAT